CATGATGTTAAGTGTGTGGTATTTGGAACAGACAAATCCAAAACCAAAACCAAATGAAGATGAGACAGGGTCAGTAATGATGGCCGCAGCCTCTTTTACACAATGCTGGCATACATATCATTTCTGGGAGGTTGTGTTCCTCGATATGTTTTTGGAAGATCACGGTGGAGTTATATCACACCATTGCAACTTTTGCTTCAAACAGTCTCATGGTTGAGGCTTTTTTAGCTGCAGGCTGTGGTCATTTGCAGCATCATTCTATTTCCATGACATTCAGCGCTTCTAGAAACTGAGCAATGTCCTCTGGCTGCTGTGCGGTTGTCCTTGAAGCAGACGTGAGGGTAAACACTCAGAGGACTTCACGTTTCACACAAAAGAAATGTTCTACAGAGTACAGGCCCCGCCCACTGTCACATATTGTTCCATAATAACACCACACCGTCAACCACAGACTTGCTGTGTACATGCACACGTCGCAGCTTTTGTGTTATGCAATGTGTTTTCCTGCTGCACTCACAGAGACTGAGGTGCAGCTGTTCAAGTTCCTGGAAAGTGTTGAGCCTTGGGATCCTCCGCATGTTAAACTGGAAAGACAGAAAAAACATGGGAAAAAAGAACAAAACAAGTATCAACCTGTTTCTTTGGCAATGTGTATCCCAGCTGCAATTCATGGAAATGCCCTTATAACTGTACGCTTGTCTGACTTGTCTCGGCTGTATATTGTTTGGACTTGTTCAACAGTCTTTTCTAATATGCAGGGTAATACATGACTCACAGAACTTAATTGTTAAAGGAAGACTTGGTTCTTGTCTTCCTCAGATGAGATCATCGCCGTGTGTTCAGCAAAGGCCAGCGTAGAGGAAAACTTCTTGGCTGGGAGCCGATCTGACACAGCCAAAATCACTGGTCACACCACTGAGGACTTCCTCCCATACACATCCTGTCCGAAAGAAATTACTTTCGCAATCACAGGGAGTTGCTCCCTCCACTGCACAATCAAATCCATCACCAAATCTGCATCCAACAACCTCGAGACTTTGTGGCACAGACCCTCCTCTATGCCTTCACCACCTTTTGTCTGGATTATTGCAGTGGACTCAGCAAAACACTGGACAGGCTTGTGAAGAATTCAGCTGCCAGAGTTCCCACCTGCACCAAGCCCAGGCACTGTCACCTAACTGAAACCTACCTGATCACCGAGGCCAATGGACTGAGTTAATTATTTTATCAATGGCAAACACTGATACGTTATTTTCTACTCTTGAGTCCTTTCTTTTTGTCTGCCTTACACGTGCAAAGTGTCCTTAAATCCCCTGAAAGACACTATAAAAATATTTGTAATAAAACAGCCGAGAGCATTTCCTGAGTGTCACACACAAAAAAAACCCTCTGGATAATCACAATTCGAGCCACTAGATGCAATCAACAACAGTTTAGTACTAACAATAAAAAACAGCATGACAGTCAAGGGTAAAAATACAGATCACAAGTATATTATTGTCCTTGACAGCTGCATGTTTTTCAGTTCCTCTGTGATATAAAATCCATGATGTCCCTCAGTAAGCGATAGCAGACCTCAGCTTTAGAGTGTTGTTCAGTCTGCTCATTATTTATCCAAAGTGGTTGCGTCCAGATAGGCAGGATATCTAGGATTTCAAGATTGTTTTCTTGGCAGGTGTCAAATAACTTTCTCTGATGTATCAATTTCAAAATAAAGGGAGGATTAATATTAAGGAGAAACAGCTAATGATCGCAGGCGGCATGATGGTGCAGTGGTTAGCATTATTGCCTCACAGCTAGAGGGATTTCTGGTTTGAACCCAGGGTGGGGGAGCCCTTTTGTGTGGAGTTTGCATGTTCTCCCAGTGTCAGTGTGAGTTTTCTGCAGGTATTCAGGCTTGCTCCCACAGGCTAGTTTAATTGGTAACTCTAAATTGGCTGTACGTGTGAATGTGAGTGTGTCAGCCCTGCCATAATCTGGCGACCTGTCCAGGGTGCGCCCCGCCTCTCGCCCAGTGTCAGCTAGGAAAGGCTCCAGCCCCCCCGCAACCCCTAACAGGATAAGCAGTTATGGAAAATAAGTGAGCTACAGTAAGGATTGTACCAGGCAATATTCATGAGATGAGCTAATGCTCTGTTAACAAAAGCATATCCCCCAGCAACCCCTGGAAACTTTCCTGTAATAAGAGCAATATAAATAATGAGAGGGTGTAGGTTATGCTCTATTAATATCTTTAAAATAAATGTGTTCATGATGTTATATTTTATTCATATTTTGTTTGCACACACAAAACTGCATAAAATCCAGATAGTGAAAATAAAGAAAGACAGAAATGTGTCAGAAGAGGTCAAGAGGTCTTTCTAAGCTGATCTGCTGATGATGTCCAGAGACTCTGATATGCTGACCCTGTGTGCAGAAACTAAAAAGGAGAACTGCTGGTTTCACCTCTTTCGTGGTCGACATGATATATCAGCTGTGTTGAAATCACTCTCTAAAGACTGTGTGTGTGTGTGTGGGGCAGGCACTTGACGGTTGCTGAGGCAGAAATGACATTTACTAAATCAATCATTGCTGCCCAGTAGAGCAGTGTTTACTCTTCAGTACTGTGATCCACAAAACAGGAAGCTCGGGTCCCGCTGGTCGGCTTGGCCTTTCTGTGTAGAGTTTGCATGTCTCCCACAGACCTGCAAGGCAGCACATCAGGTTAATTGGAGAATCTAAATTGTGAATGTCAGTGGTTGTCTCAGTTTGTGTCAGTCCTGTGATAAACTGGTGACCTGTTCAGATGTGTACCCTGCCTACCCTGGTCTGCATTACACAGCGGGATTGCTTTCCTATGTAGTATATGGGGTAGCAGCCCAGTCTCAAGAATAAAATGTTGGCATTTTTGTTTTGGCAAATCACTGATATACAACATTTTTTTAACAAGAGGTTGGGACATTTCCAGCCATATTTATAGCACCAAAAGTGGGTATTTTATGATGACCGGTTTGGACATTTCTAGAGATTTTTATAGCACCAAAAGTGTCTATTTTTAACAGGAGGTTGGGACATATTCAGCTGTATTTATAGCACCAAAAGTAGGTATTTTTTTAATGAGAAGTTGACATATTTCCAGTTGTATTAAGAGCACCAAAAGCGGGTATTTTTAAACGAGGGGTTGGGACATTTTCAGCCATAATTATAGCACCACAAGCTGGTATTTTTTAACGTGAGGCTGGGACATATTCAGCTGTATTTGTAGCACCATAAGCAGGTATTTTTTTATGAGAGGTTGGGACATATTCAGCCGTATTTATAGCACCAAATGCGGGTATTTTTTTAATGAGAGGTTGAGATATTTCCAGCTGTATTCAGAGCGCCAAAAGTGGGTATTTTTTAACTAGAGGTTGGGACATTTCCAGCTGTGTTTGTAGCACCAAAAGCTGGTATTTTTTAATAACAGGTTGGGACATTTCCAGCTGTATTTATAGCACCAAAAGCAGGTGTTTTTTAACAAGAGGCTGGGACATTTCCAACTGTATTTATAGCACCAAAAGTGGGTATTTTTTAACTAGAGGTTGGGACATTTCCAGCCGTATTTATAGCACCAAATGCTGGTATTTTTTTAATGAGAGGTTGAGATATTTCCAGCTGTATTCAGAGTGCAAAAAGTGGGTATTTTTTAACTAGAGGTTGGGACATTTCCAGCCGTATTTATAGCACCAAATGCGGGTATTTTTTTAATGAGAGGTTGAGATATTTCCAGCTGTGTTTGTAGCACCAAAAGCTGGTATTTTTTAATAACAGGTTGGGACATTTCAGCTGTATTTATAGCACAAAAAGCGGGTATTTTTTAATGAGAGGTTGGGACATTTCCAGCTGTATTTATAGCACCAAAAGCGGGTATTTTTTAATGAGAGGTTGAGATATTTCCAGCTGTATTCAGAGCACCAAAAGTGGGTATTTTTAAACGAGGGGTTGAGATATTTCCAGCCATATTTATAGCACCACAAGTGGGTATTTTTTAACGTGAGACTGGGACATATTCAGCTGTATTTGTAGCATCCAAAACGGGTATTTTTTAATGAGAGGCTGGGATATTTCCAGCTGTATTTATAGTGTATTGGTGTATAGTGGGTATTTTTTCACAAGCAATTGGGTTGTGGGTTGACTGAGGACAGATGCTGAACTAGATTCTGTATGAGAGTGCAGTTGGGTGCAGTTTTTGGAAACAACACCAAGCATATAGTTTGCCACATGCCCTAAAGCACTTGTAGCTCATTGATTCAATCCTATGGCCATATGGGTCTATACACAAAGATGGCCTTTTTGTAGGCCTACATACAAGGCTGTGTTCATGATCAGATTGCACTCATGATGAACAGATCATGCAAACATGTAAAAGATGACTCACTATACACTGTGTATATATACAGAGGCTAGACTAGATACAAGATCTTACAGCTACAAGATAAAACAAGAGGTCACCATTGTTATATTCATAGCAGTCATATTTTGGGAGGAGCTGTTAACTCTTATCCTTGATCTATGATCAAATGTAAAGAATGAATTGACAGCGGAGGTTTCTGTTTCTCATGTTGTGTTGAGTCAGACCCAGGCAACTTTCAACACAGCTGACCCCTTTCATCTGACCTAATCCTGCCACCTAGTGGTTGATACAGGATCCACACACCATGAAGTGAAGTTGTTTTGTCAACTGCTTTTTACCAAGCCCAAGAAGACATTCTGAAGCTAAACTTTTACAAACATTTTTAAGCTGTTAAATTGGGCTTGAGAACCCAGTGAAAATTCATGTGCCATAAATAAGAGAGTTTCTAAATTAGGTCAAAGTGATGCAGTTTAATCCAACAGTCCAGCATGAAATAGTCCTGCCATAGAGGTTCTAATGTTCATTTCATCTGAGACACACTACAGTTTGAAACATTGTCCAGAGTCCCTGACAGAACAGTCCGTCTCACAGTCCTGATACAAAAAGCTTAATGAAGTCACACTTGGAAGCAAATTGTTTCAACCTTTATTAAACATAGCTTGCAAGAGATAAATATTACAAAGTTATTTCCTCCAAAATTAGCTTATTTTTTCAATCAATGCATAATTGTCAATCAACTGGCAGTATTCAAACAGCATTATTTTCTTTTACTTTTTTGAAGACCGTTAAATATCAAGTATGTGCAAAAGGTCAGGATTGATGTAAGCAAAAACAAAAAAAAGGACTTTTAGATTAGTTTCCGGTCGATTTTGTCTGTTTCCGCGTCCCCAAATGTTTATTTCAACATTGTCAACATTATACAAAAAGTCAACTGAGAATTGATCAAACTAATTTCGAAAATTAAACATTTCCCTGCATTAGCAACAACAACTAATAGAAGATAAAGCCAAACAGTAGAGGACCATACGTGTTGTATGCTGGTGTTGGCAGGAAAAGTGATCACTGATTCAGGGTCAGTTCTTCTCAGGTCAAGCAGCAGACGTGGCCATTTAACAAAAACCAGGGTTCCACTGATGTAAGAGCGAATACCTGGATGGAACATCTAGAGCCAAACTTCTGTATAAAATTGACTTTTTTATGCCAAAAGTTCCAAGAAATTATGTAAACCATGGTGAAAAGCTGGAACCCACTTGAAATGCACATTAGGATCATATCAACAATTTACCATTCACAATGAATGTCCCTGTTACCCTTCGTCACTGTAAACAGCTGGAACTCCTTTCTGAGAAAAGTCTGAATGAGAACAGTCTTCAGTGTGTTCGTCAGAGCAACAGGGACACTAGACACCATGTTTTTAAATGTCATCTTTCAACACTGTGAGTAGCACAAATGTGTCAGCACCTACTCTCCAGTCCAGCAAATTTCACAACTCAATGGTTCATAGAAAGCCAATGTGCCTGAATGTGTGGACATACAATCAGCAATAATGTAGGATAGACATGGTGTGTATGAACGTGCAAAAACACCAGTCTGGTCCTTTGGTGAGAGGCCAAACTGGCACATCAGTCTGACCCTGGATCAAACCATTAGTTCAGGAGGGTCACTCAATTCTCTCCATGTAATCTGACACACAAAGTGAAACATTCAAAGTGCTTTTATCTAGAGCAAGATCAGGAAAGGAAACAAAGTTATTTCAAGTTTCAACGCTCTGAGAGAAAACAAAAGAAATGTTCAGGTGTGTAATGTGAACCAGACTGCAGACCCTGTGTGTCTGAACCAATGAGCACCTTCCTGCAAACTCTTAACTAGTCCCCAACCAAAGCGAATGCATCCAGGGAGACCGCTTCAAGAAGCAGAGGAGGGAGGGGGGAAAAAAAAGAATCCCAAACATTTTGCACATTTGTTACACAATAATACACAGTGATCACAAAACGAAATGACAAGCTTCACAATATTCATGGCTTTTTGTTTGCTTTTCTACACAATATACAACCATTTAATTTCTTTTTTCAGTACAAGGGAGGAGAAAATGCTTATGTACAATAAGTCATTATTACTTCAAACCTAGCAAATATCGTGTCATTTATTCCATAGTCAATACATTTGTTTATTTTTTAAAACTGCAATAGAAAGAAAACAGAACTCAATTGAGACGTCAGAAAAAGAATGACTTCAAATTTAAATCTTTTAGATTTCAAGAAAGAATCTGCAGTCCAAATACAAAGGTGTGTGGATGCATCTGCAAAAGAGCAAGAGACAGGAGCTTTTTTTTTTCTTTAACTTCAGCTTGGCAGCAAAAGGAGATGCATGACAAAAACATTGCTAAAATCAAATCGTGAGTGGCAGTAAAAATTTATCCCAGACATTAAAAACTCATTAAAATATATCTCTATATCCAATTTCAACTGTTCCACCAAAGTGATAATTGATCCATGTTTTTTATAGGATTAACAAAAATGATGTTTTCCAAGTGTTAACTTGAGCTAATATCTCTGAATCTAATCGTAGGTAGTTTCATAGTCCTGGCCTAAGTCTTTCATGTCACTGGGCTGTTCATCATCACATCGCTCTGACGTGCAGGTCTGAACCAGAAGACATCCACCTGACAGTCGGGCTGGAATAAACATCACCAACCACTGTGCACATATGGACGGGGGGACTGTAACAATGCAGAGGGTAACAGTGACATAGATTCACATAAAAAAAATGACAGAAGATGTGCAGAGGCTGTGCAGTTACACCACCAATCTCTCAACTGTGTAGAGCTCCATTAAGGACATCCACTGGAGAGGTGAAACATGGTCATGGCTACAGAATTATCTAAAAGGATTGTTTGTATTAACATTAATAAAGGTGAGCAGATTTAGGGTTTATATTGCTGTGGTTTGTTCTAAATTGTCTTGACTTTAGAAGAGGAGTTAGTGAAGTGAAGTCTGTCCCCTTTTTAAGCTAGCTTGTGCTAAACTAGCATTGGTCAAACGATTTGTTTTTCCCGTAAAGGCTATCTCTCATTGGTCTCTCAGAAAAGGTTCCAAATATTACACATTCTCAGAGCTCGAAATACCACTTGCATATGCATGTAAGTGCACATAAAAGTCGAGCTGTGCAAGTAATGGTCAGCTTTACATGCACCAGTGCACGTAGCTTGGTACAGACCGTAGTCTCATGCATTGACCATGAAAACTTTTCACTTGCTCTGATGCCACAGGGCCATTTTTCTACACAATGAAAAACAAATTGATAATTGATGACATTGCGGATTGAATAAAGGGCGCTGAAGCCTTCTTTATACTCGTGCTGACAGTGCACAGATGGACATGACGGAGTGGCACATTGCAAAAGCTGCACCATGTATAACCCGATCAAGCTGGCCCGTTTGGGCTCTGATGTCTTTTCGTTCTGTTACAGTACTGGTGCTTAGAGCGTCAGCATCACAGCGATAATTTATTAGACACCACCGTGACATCTGTGAAGAAGTCCTAATATGATTTTTTAAAAAAGTTTTCATATTAGTATTAATATAAACTTAGGTTGACCATAAAGCTCAAATGGTATTCTGACATACTGAAAATGTCCTGACACCAAATAGTGAAGTAAAATAAAACCTTGGTGCAGGTAAAAAAGTTACATGCACCAGTGCATGTACACAGAAGTATTTTGAGCCCTGAATTCTGCTACTGCATTGGCTGAAGAAAACACTTCATCGCCCGGTCGTTAAAATGATTTCCCTGTTAAAATGTCAAGTGTTTCCATTTTACTAACAATCTGAAGAGCTGATAGAAACTGAATTTAGAACATGGACAGAGAACATCGGTGTCAGTGTCAGTGTTAGCCTGAATGAAGACAGAAGCCGTCCGTGAGAAAAATAACACTAAAAAAAAATTTAAAATCAGGGGCTTTGTTAGCTAGCTTAGCTAACTAGCTGATGGACTCATTGAACAAAATGGATGCTACCACTGCTAGCTTCTACCACTGTGCAGACAGTAGTTCTGCTCAAATCAAAGAAACAAGACTGGCCACTTATTGACACACAGTGTTTGAAATTAAGTGCTATAGTTTATTTTGCCGGTTTGTTTTTAGCAAGAAGCTTAAACTTATTAGCTACTTTTAAAAACAAAACTTTAGAAAGGGTTTTTAAGTGCCACTGTAGCTTCTCTTGCTATTTAGCTTTATCTTACATTTTTGCATCACTTGCTATTCAGCAGAAGGAGCTTTAACAAGAATAAGAGACTACAGCCACACCAGCTGTGTGGCTTTACTTAGCATAGCAGTACATTGAGCTTAACGCCAATGTCAGGATGTGAACATGCTCAAAATGAATGTTAACAAGGTAGGTAGCAGGTATAATGTTTACCGTGTTAGCGTGCTACCATTTGTGAATTAAAACTTAACACAAAGTACAGCTGAAGCTGATGAGAATGTCATTAGTCTTGCAGATATTTGGTCGTAAACCAAAGTACCTGACAAAAGTGAAATTTTGGAACGTGAGTGTCTGCGACGTTGTGTAGAGGATTAAAAGTTTAAGAGTGTGAGTCCAGAATGAACTGAGTGTGATATAACCCAAACGTGATCAGAAATCCAAACACAGCGTAATCATGACTGTTTCATTCACACATATTAACTGCACAGAAACTGAGACATAAACATTTTGTCAGAAGCTGTAACAAGCTGTTGCCCAAGAAGTGAAGGAATCCAACATGGCTGCCAGAATGTGTGTTGGCCACCTGCGACCCTCTGCAACAGTGTCGGTCTCATGTCAATGGTGAACCTGTGCCACGTTGTTTCACCACACAACAATCTAGATGTTCTCTATGAACAATTTACATGCTCCTGCCTGGATGATGTTTAACATGGATCTGTGTCATCCTAAAATGAGTCACTAAAACAGTCTTTGCTTTGTGTTTTATCCAAATCCGACATGAGATTTCATGGACGACAGTTGACTATTTGCTACGGCTCCTTAGTAAGCTGAGGTTTCCCACTCAGACTGAAATGTGTTGGTCAGTTCAGAACCCTGTATCTCAAACACAAACTGACTTCATCACAGTGCCTGTGTCCTTCAGTCAGGAGTCACTTAAGTTCTGAGAGTAATACTGCACATTGACTGAACACTGCTTGAAATGCCTGAGCTACGACAACATTTGGAGCCCACCACTCCTGAAGAAACCAGTTAAGTGTTGCTCTTACACTTCACATCGGGGTAGTGTGTGTGTGTCTATATGTATTTATATAAAGTTAACTAGATGTAGCCTGATGTTAGCAGGTTTGAGCTGTAAACCAGTCCTCTCCTTTGAGACAGGGCGAAACTCTGGGACACACAACTGCCTCTAAAGCTGGGCTCAGACTAGAGGAGTTTAAAATCGTTCAAAACCAATTTTAAAATCAGGGTGTATCATGCAAATAAGACTTAACAGATGTTCTTCTCTACTCTCAAACACACTACAAGATTAGAAAACAATGGCGCATCACATAATAGAGAATATAATAAAGACTATCATGACAGAGGGAGCATGAATGCAACACCTCACGTCAGTTTTAATATCAAAAGTAGTGTGTTCACTAATGTTTGGAGCTAGAATGTTTATTGTTGCTTGGGAAAACGGTCAGCAGCTGCGTACTGACGTAATCATAACCACCATCACCCTGATTTTAAATCCTTAATATCAGCCATGATTGAAGTTGGGAACTGTATATTTAAACGTCTCACATTACCAGATAATCTGGGCCTGACATCCGATTTCTCCTCTAGGTGAATCAGGGGATAAGTCGGCCCAAAACTCCTGCAGCCTGAGCCCGGCTTAAATGAAATATTTATGGAACAGATTGAACGGTTCAATGAATGAAATGTGCAAATTAAAACAAATCTCATTTTTAGGTTTCCTGTAGCTGTGATCAGGGAAGAGCTGTGGCTGCACACAACTAGCTAATATCTGAGAAGGAAGATCCATATGGACAAATTGGACAGCTGATGGTGTCCCACTGCACTGAAAAGGAGACTAAATTTACGGCTGGGTTTTGATGATGGTACATCTACTTATCTAGTAATCATCTAACCCCAGCACACTGGGCACCAGGGATTTGGAAACCGACACTTGAGGTCCAACATTAACAGAGATCAACACTGGCAAAGTAAAAATAGGATCAAACCACTCATCATCCCTAAAACACAAACCTTGATGCAATCCACAATACTCAGGACATCTCCCCTAACACTCCGGTGGGCTGTCAGCCAGCGTCCGGACCTTAGCCACTCTCAATTGTAACATTCTTTTCCTCCTTTTTAAAAAAAATGTTTTTCCAATTGGAAATATGCAAAGTGCTCCTCTGGAGTGAGGCAACTTGTGTGCAGAGCATGCACACAATGATTGATCCATGTCTCTCCCATAAAAGATATAATCCACATCCTTTTTTTTCTCCCTCTGAAGCTAGGTATCTATACATTATCCATACAGATATTTCAATAGTTTTTGTTTTTAGCTATGTTGATTATTATCGTCTCCGGGGGCTAATACCTCTCAGGCACGCCACCATTTCATTAGGAGACGCCGCAAAAAATAACAAACAAATAAACTAACAGATAAACTAAAAAAAAAGAAGGGAAGGTTGGGTGGGAGGGGTCAACAATCAGAAAACAATCTAAAAATCCAAATATAACAAGAAAAGGAACCCAGATTTTTCTAGGTTTTTAGGTACAGAATCTGTGGTTTGGACGCAGAAAATGTGCCTCCACCTTCAGATTTGAGTTCTTTTCACTTTCTCAAAGAACATGTGATGCCAAGAGGAGCTGCTGGGTAAAAAGGGTTCAGTCTGTGCATACTGGATAACCAAAGGTATCTAGGGGGGCATGGAGGGGTCGGTGGCAGGTAGTGAGATAGGAGGGAAAACCAACTTGCTTCTCTCTGAGTGGACTCCATCATCCCCCCGTTCATACAGGGTGAGTTTGTAGACGATGTCCTCCGGCCTGTCAGCTCCCTCCTTGCTTAAGTTTATATGGGCTGTTGGTCCAGTGAAGGTGCAGTAGTTTCGTCTGTCAGTCCTGATTAGTACAACTACAGTTTGTAGTTAACAGTTACATCCATCTGGTAAGTGTTCAAATCTGTAGCAGGAGAGGCAGACGTCTGAAATGAAGAAACTGGTGATGACCTTTGATTTGGAAATGGTGGGAGCCGACTAGAAAAGCACAAGGTTTTCCAAAATCTGATCACATAGGATTCTCTTTTGTACACATATGCACCTTTTGTTAGTCATGTCGGTTGATTAGCTCTGATGGTAGCAGGATGTCTCCTCAAAATTGGTGATGCTGCCCCAAACCCAAGTTGTCGGAGCTGCATATCGGTGTGAAAACAGCTCTTGAAACTGGCCCTTTTGACAAGACGATACAAATGTGGGTGCTCTGGTCTCAATTTCATTTTCATGCCCCCCCCACCCCTGTTTTTGTTCCTATTGAGTATTTTCCACTTTGTTACTCCAAGTTAGCGAGCTAACACTTTTTACAAAGCTTCAAAGTTGTTAAACTTTATGTTGCATAGCAACCAGAATGCACCCTGTTGATCTGTTACTAGCAATAGTCACATCTAAGCTTTATAATTGAGTGGAGAAAAAAATCCTATATGATCGTGGCCTAAAGTGGCCCTACAATGACTCACCGTCACTGCCCAAGGTAAAGGAGCGACAGCAGAGAAACAAAAACGGACCAAACACTTATAAAAGAAAAAAAGCATAATGAGTAATCGTAACTGAAGCAAAAATGGTAGTTGCAGGTATAATAATAGTGCTACCAACAGCGATAATAATGGGAATTATAATTGTTAAACAACGCTGACGAAGAAGATTTTTACTATAATAACAACATTTGAGATGCACTGACAGTTTAGTGTCTTTGTCCGACTTCGTGGGTTTTCATGGGTTGGTTTAAGGTAGGCACACGGACAGGCACTGCATGCGATGGGGGGTGGGGTGGGGGTGGGGTGGGGATGTTGGTCGATCTGGGAGTGCTTCAGTATGGGGTAGGGGGGCAGGAGGGGGGGGGGGGGGGGGGGGGGGGGGGGGGGGGGGGGGGGGGGGGGGGGGGGGGGGGGGGGGGGGGGGGGGGGGCTTCAGAGGGGCAGGAGAGCTGGGCGGGGCTCATTTCTGTCCGGTGATGGACTGCGATATGGATCGAGGTGGGATCATGTCCAACAGGTACTCTCTCTGCCGGTCTGCTAAGCTGGAGCTCTTATGGGGTCCAACTGCCGCTGGGTTCAGATAGGCAATATTTAACCCTGTGGGAACAAGACAGACACATAAAGAGGAGACTGTAAGGTCTGGCAACACTTAAAGTTTAGGCTCTGGAGTTTCCATATAAAATCTTAAATATTTATTTACCCCAAAGCCATGACTTTTGATCAGGCATAATACGTGATCACCCCATATAAAAAAATAAAATTCACTGTCCCTTAACGGATCACTATGACACCAGATTTGTCCTGTATTTTCGTACATGTATGAGGGTATTCTTTTCTCTCAGATATTGGTAGGGACAATTCTGTCCTCCCAAAATATTGGTAGGGATATGTCCCTATTGTCCACATGCAAATCTACGCCTTTGTTTGACTGCACTGGTATGAGTGACTCTGAGCACAGACAGAGGTCGGCGAAATGCTTAACTCTTACCCCATTTACACTGTCGGTTCAAGGCAGGAATATCGCAACATTATGCTGCCTTCCAGTTTTGAACAAAAGGTACGATCATAGAGTTAGGGGACTGATTTGTCTTGCCTCTGACAGGACAACCAGCAGGATGAGATCACAGGCTGCATGGGTGTGATGTTCTGACAATGTGTTATGCGTGTGACCCACTGAGGGAGACTTAACAAGTAGCTGGCAGCAGCTAGTGGCTTACTCAAAGAGGAGGAACAGCGGCCGAAAATGCCCAACAATGAGGTCTGGGAGCTCCTTACCCTCCGAGAAGAGGACAAGATCAGCTGCTACATAACAGAGATGGTGAATAATTGCTATTGCTAGTGCCATGTTATGCCATTGTTATTGTTGATAAAGAGGCTGCGATGCCGACATGCCTTCTAAAAACCACACATGGGAGCAGCATGATGCTGCCGTTGTTTGGTTCTGTGTAAAAATGCAAAGGTGGCATGAAGAAGGGACTTCATCACGATTTTATAGTACGATCTATGTGTAAAGACGGCTTCTGTCTCTAAAAAGTCTCAAAGACCAGTGTATAAAAGATTCAGATAGCAGCTTCTCGTTCATATCATATCAGCTGTCACTGGTTCAAGTGCTCTCTTCAACCAGCGTCTATTTGGTCAAAGATTATTTGTGAGGGAAGAGGCTCCACTCTGTAGCACCACAGTCCAGTCAGAGTGGACTGAGTTGATTCATGCCAATTTCACATTCTCTCAGTAAAACTTTCATTCATATCATATCTATAATTTAAGATGATCAACTTTTTTAGTTTTGAACCACGACCTTCAATATTTCAGTCAAGTCTTGCCAGATCGAGCATCTACAGCTGTTATTTCAATGTGTCAGACATCCCTGATGAACATGAGTTGATTCAGGCACCCCAACACACAGCAGACCCTGTACAGCAGATACCTGGGATGTTGTAGATCTGGCGACGGCTGTCATGCTGCAGTCTATTGCTGCTACTGCTGCTGCTGCCTCCACCGCTGCCACAGTGCTTGGCACTAGTCATTCCCATGAGGCTGCTGGCCACTGACAGCTGGGAGGCCTGGGCGAAGTTGGACAGAACACCTCGCGCTGAGTTGGACAGACCTCGCTGCAGGGAGGCCTGAGGCTGGGGAGCCTGAGGACAGTACAGACATCCCATTAACTTCACCATTGCTGCCACACAGTGCACAAATTACACATTGTAGGTTAGCAGATGCAATGCATTACTGGATTTAGTCAATTGTCAAGTACAAATAACAGAAACTTGGTGGTTACAGCTTAAAACATGCTTAGTTAGAGTCCATTTCTTTGTTTCATGTCATCTAAAGTAAATATAATTATTAGTGGTAGCCGTACTGCAGAACACGAGACATTCACATGACCACAAAAAAATCCTGAGCACTTTTTTTTTCCAAAGCCTTTTTGTTACAGATCATTCTACACCGACAGGCAGACAAACTTACAAATACTTTTACACAAGCAAAGGCGGACTGTGAGATGGCAGGCTGCAGTGTACCTGGCGGAGTGCATGATGTCGAATCATGGTGTCAGTCTTGGAGGCATTGGGGCCAGTAGGAGCCGAGCTGGGAGAGAGGGCCGCCTGCTGCTGAAGCCTCTGTTCAATTTCCTGTCATGGTGGCACATTTAGGAGTTTACATTGATTCATACATTCACATACATCCATTCCATTTAGCCCTTGTAGCCAACAGTTGTTTGAAAGCAGTTGTACTGAAAACCCGGTCAGATAACCTAGCTAACATGAGTGTTTGGGAGTTTTTGGCAGGTTGACAACATCTCTAAAAAGGTCAGTGTCAGGCCCTGGGCAGAGAAGGCATGTAGTACATTGTGCTGTGTGATCACAGCGCTTTTCTGCCTGCATCCTCTCACTGAAGTACATTGAGTTCAGAGGTGATTCTCCTATGTTGCTGCTCTCTGTTAAAAAGTGTGTAGTTCACCCATTCCTTAAAAGGTGCAAATGTCCACAGGACATGGCAAAAGAAACCATTTACTAAATAATAAGATGTATTATTTCTCTGAGATGTAGGTGGCAAGATTAGGATGATGTTGTTGTGATATAACTTTATGTTGATATGTATATAAACAAACTGTTGCAGAGGGACATGGTGCTGACCTGCTCCTGCTGCAGGGCCTTCACAAAGGCGTTCTTCAGCCTGTTGGTGTGCTCCGCCTTCAGAGCCTTCTTCTGATTGGAAGTCATGCACTGCTCACAGAGAATTCGCCCGCTCTTCTCTTGCTTCCAGTGGGGGGTGAAGTCGGTTCTGCATTGGGCACAGAAGAAAGGCTCCATGCGGGCCAGCGTCCCTCTGAGTTTACCTACAGAGAAGAATTTTGGTGCTTACTTTATCTATGAGTTTGACTAAAACGAATGATCTGTTTTCTCTCCTCTGAGTGTTGGCTGCTTACCCTGACTGTCGAGCACACTCTGCACCACCTCCTCCAGGCCCACCATGTAGATGAACTCGCTGTTGGCGGCAGAGGGCAGGAAGTGAAGGAGTGGGGCGGGGGGTTTGGGTGGAGGGATCTCCAGCAGGGTTTTCTCAAGCTGCTTCCTAAGGGCCAGCTTGGCCGCCGCCTGGCTACTGGCCTGATCGGCCATGGAGCTCACCCCTCCGCCAGCCGAGCTGGACATGGTGGATGGGCTGACAGCCGAGGCTCCGCCCAGGCCACCAGCCACCCCGCCGGCCCCTGCTGCTGCTGCTGCTTGCATGTGGGCCAGGTTCATGTACATGGCACTAGAGCCTGAGCGCTGGGAAGCTGCCACCTGCTGGCTGGCCTGCAGGGAGACACACATTCACTTTTGCTTAGCAAAGTAAAGTCACATTTTTAAGGTTTGAGCACTGATGTCACAACCTGCCACAGAATAAAAGAACATTTGCTGCCTTTGCTTCCCTTCAATGCCCTGAGCTACTTTATGTGTTATCATTTACACAACAGCTTTTAATGCAGTTCTTTTTAAAGTGCTCCCTGTCTACTGATTGGCCTCAGCCTATAGAGCTGCGGATGTTTAAGTAACAATGGTCTTTGGACAGAGGTTTGCAAAGGTCCACTTGGTTCCTAATAAGTGAGAGCCAGTCAGGGAACTCAGGCCAGGTCCTGCTGCATGTGTGTCAATAACTCTAATACACAAGTGGATCCGAACAGACTCTTGACAGCTCTGCTCTTGGGTAAGCATCATGATGCTGCCAGTGCTGGTGTCCTCTTTCTTGGGTCTGCTTGAGTTCAATTCATTTTGGACTGGGCCTTATTATTCGGTCTGCTGGGATAGTGTGTGAGTGTACTCAGGTTCCAATGGGGCTGAATCTCTCTTTGCAGAGAATGGATTAAGTGACATCATAAATCAATATGCAATACTGATTTTGATCTGTCTTTGTCAGGAACTGTCAAGTCTTTAAATTCGATTGGACTGTTTCGGATTAGGTCTAAACACCCAAAGAACCTGTAATGTAACCTGTATCTTTAGTGTTTGTTAAATGCTGCTAAAAACAGAAATATGAAATAAACAACATTCTTTTTTATGTTAAGAATGTTGCCGGGCTCAAATTTTTAGTGATTTAAGTTGTTACAAATGTCAGTGTGATTTTAAAACAGGTTTTCTTACATCTGGAACAGAGTCTGAAAGTTCTGGTTTCACTCAGGCTCACTACGATGACTAAGACAGTTAACAGTTTCACCGCAGACTAACTTTTTCCCCTTAAGTTAAGCTCACTGTGGATACTCCTCAACTGAATGCGCTGCTCTCACCCACTCGCTAAAGCATTACTGATTTTTGTTACATAAAATTAAAATCACGATAACAGAAAAAATCATCTCTAAATAAGAGGTTTCTGCACAGCTACAGAGAGAAAAGCTGACTTCACTGTCAACACAGTCTATGACATTACTGAATGCACTGCAGTTAGCTGGGCTTGGTATGGCTCCATACCTGCTGGTAGCTGACTGCATTGGCCAAGCTGCTTGAGCTGGAGCGAGACATCCCAGGCTTAGAAGAGATCCTCTGGCCTTGCAACTGGGCAGGGTTGGGGGCTATCACTCGCTGGGACATCAGCATGGGCGGCAGGTTGGCATTGGCTGCTGACCTGATGACTGTATGACCCTACAGAGAGGAAAAACAGAGAAGTTAAATGAAAGGAAAATACTCAAAGTAAAGGAAACACTTTATGCAGTTAAACATTTTTGTTTGATATAAGGGTAAGTTTGGGATTTTTTAACATGGACCTCATATACCTATGTTTTTGTGTCTTAGTGACCAATTGAAATTGGTCCAGTATTAAGCGAGGCCGCTGCAACCGGCAGCAGCAAAACAAACTGCTTTGTAACCACTCTGTGCATGATCACACCGTCAATTAACATCCACTAAAGTTGCTTATTTTTGTCACAGACAGGCTCAGATTATTATTACTATTGTCTGATAGCTTATGAAAAGGATCCTGCAGAGATACAGCTTTTTATTAAAGAATAAGATCCTTTTTATTTTACCAGAAACAGCCCAAAAATCACTATTGCCAAACCCACCAGACTCCATTTAAAATAACAGTACATTTATCACCCCAAAACACTTCACTTAAAGTCAACAAAAACAATACGAAACTCATATAACCCATCTTGGTTTGTCTTCTCACTATTCCAAAAATCACTAACTCTAGTTTGGTTGAAATAACAAGTCTGGTGTCTATAACAATGGTGATGTCAGGGCAGTTTCTGGCTAAACAAAAAGGATCTTAATCTTTAACAAAAAGGTCTATCGCTGTAAGGATACTTTCCACAACTTGTCAGACACTTAAAATGACAGTCTGAGCCTGTCAGTGGCAAAAACAAGCACTTTTAGTGGACATAAATTCACATTGCCAACATGCCCCTGATGGTTACGCTGCTGTCTGTTTCAGTCTCGTTCAATATTGGACCAAGTTCAAAAACCATTGTTTCCATTCGTTACTTAGACACACAAAACATAAACTAAACATAAAGCTAAACATTTGTATAAGAAGTGTTTCTAATATTTAGTCTACCATCATTAATATACATTTTGTGGACGAAATATTACAAACATCTTTCGGTACGGTGCAATACAATCATGACGGGAGGATTTATTACATGGCTGTTATATGCCTGCATTAGTTTGAGCGGGACAGACCTTGTACACCAACAACTGAGTGTATAACACTGTGTAAATCTCTTCATAATAAATGAGGCACTTATGTTGACACGTTTTACCACAAACCAGGTCTAATGAGAGTCTATATTAAGGGTGGAGCTCTCTCTTCATGTACACACATCCAGTGTTTGAACAGATACTATACACAGTGTGGGCAGCAGAGGGCAGCAGCTGCTTGGTGAGTAAACCAACAACAAACCAGGCAGAATATCTCACACACACACACACACACACACACACACACACACACACACACACACACACACACACACACACACAGCCATCCATAACCACAGAAATCTGCTGAATATTTAACACCAACTCAACATGTAATGGAGGAGCAGGGCTACGTCACGCAAGAACAAAGGCTTCCAGCAGGAGGCTGTCTTATAATCAGAGCGGGACCTTCTACCATTCACAGCATTCTAAAATAACCCCAGTATTTATGTCAGTCAAAAACAGCATCTTAATCCCAATTAAACCTGAACCTTTACCTTGACCTCACATAGCACATTTTTTGTCTCTGCATACTCACAGAGGGCCGAAGCAAATATTCTAAAAAGCTTGGATGATGAGAGATATGGAGGATACAGACATTCACCTCTGGAAAAGGCATATGCGTTTCAATTTCTGTTCGGATTTCTCCAAATGGAATTTCAGTGTTGTATTCAAGACCACTTGAGTAAAATTTAAGACAAGGCCAAGCACAGTCAAATTTGATGTTAAATAGTCAAGAGACTGACAGAAATAGAGCCCTCTCCCAAAACCAAGCTTGAAGAAAGACTTTTTATTCTGTTAAAAATCCCCCAGCGATTTAGAATTGCATTTGGGGGAATCACAAGAGACAGATTTTGGAAAAAAGAATGGATGAAATCTAGTATGGGTCGAGTTTCAAAAGCACTAGATGGTACGTTCCTCACGACACAACAGGATAGCATCTTTTCCTTAGACCCTCCCTGTCAGGTAAACACCACAAACTCCAGACGTCACAGGTTCTCTGTTATCTACTTGTAGGTATTTTGTCAGACTCAGACACTGAGGACATTCCATGAGACAGCTGTTTCACTGTGTAGCATTAACCATGACCAGTAAACTGACCTGTCGGAGTACAACTGGTGGAGTGGCCCTTTAATTTGAGATTAAGATGTGTTTGCCCCACCTGATTCCCTCAGGACTAATAGTATTATTCAAGTAGTGGGCAGGATTAATCATTAACTCTCTGGAGGTGTATACATGTAATAGTGAATCAAATGTAAAGAACACACAAACACACACACACACACACAGACCTGTGCAGTGCGGAGGTTCTGGGGCTCAGGGTTGTGCAGGCCCGGCCTCACAGGCAGCTTCCCCAGACCAGGAGAGCTGTGCATGGGAGGAGGCTGCACAGAGGATGCAGCGTTCTGGACCACTGGAACCTGCACACAGTCATCAACAGAGCATTAACACAGCAACACGATTCCTGTTATAGTAACATTTTTTTTTAACCTTGAGGTTTTACTTCACATACATTTTAAATCATATTACAGTACCCAATTACAGCTCGACCTTAACAGCCAATCTGAAAAGAGCCATGTTTAGCCTATTTAACACAGCTCATATATTTGCTTCAAATGCTGTCGACAATTTTTAAAACGCACCATAGTGTTGTCTAAGGTATGCTGCAATCACTCTACAGAATATTTCTGTCTATATAGATGCTCACTGCGTCAATGTAGGTACTCATAGAGTCATAAATTCTTACCATGACTTAAATCAAAGACACTTCTGCATTAAAAGTCTGGATAAAGAGCGGGCAAGCACTTGCATTTAAACTCTGCTCTTGCATTCCATGGAAATCCCACCTCTCAGCTCGTTCATCAGCCAGTTCTGTCATGGCTCACCTATGCCTGTTACTTTACGTGATGTAAAAAAAAAATGCATGTGTTTGGGAAGTACTGAGCATTACGACTGGATAAATGAGACATGGATCGTACTGCATGAATTGTGAGAGTAGTTTTGCTGTTAAATGTGAACTGATTTACTGCAGTTCATCAAGAATTTTCTCCATTTTCGGATTCTTTGTTCACCATGGAGGCATGGAAGACAAACAGAGTAACTGGTATGTAAATCATTAGTTAGGGGGTGAAGCATTTCTTTAAGCTACAATAATACACCATAATTTATTTGTTACATTTTTTATCGATAATATCAAACTGCAAAGTGCGATATTTCCCTCTGAAATGCAGCACAGTAGAAGTAGAAAGTAGCATAAAATAGATATTACAAATAAATTCATAGCACGCAATTGTACTTAAAGCTGCAGTAAGTAGAAAGCCTGAAAACGGTTGATTTTTGAGTCTCATCTGAGTTAGGTTTCGTTCGTCTCTGCCCTGAGCCCCTCCTACCAGACGAGCATGCGAGTATTTTATCCTACTTGGTTCTATTTCTCAGCTCTCCCTCACCTTGCAGCAGCCCTCCTCATCCCTCCCTCGCAGCCCCGCACATACCCCCCTCGGCTCGGCTCTCCCTCTCCGCGGAGAGCCCTCGGCTCTGCTCCTACGGCCGACCCTCGTGCCCTCCGGCCAGGCCCGGCCCCGCCTCACCCTTCCCCTCCCTCTGGGGCTCCGGGGAACCGAGTTCTGTCGTCCTTTTTTTGGGTTGTTTAGCCGTCCGTGTAGGCAGTTGTAGCCAATGCTGGAATAGCTATTTTACCTGGTGCACTGTTCACCATTGCCGCTTGCTCTCCCCTTCTGTCGGCGGCATGCGAACGTGCATATGCAGTGGCACAGCCAATAGGAAAGCAGTGGTCTGAGCTGACCTTTGATTGGTTGATGCACATCGGCACGATACTGATTCTTTAGAGGCTGAACACAGAGCCATGGTGAGGTGCAGAAACCTATTGTTTGTCATAGACCACTTGACTTACATCATGCTTAGAGGATATTATAAAATTTTTACTCAATTATACCAAAACAATGTTGCCTACTGCAGCTTTAAGTACAGTACTGGAGTGAAATGTAATTAATGACATTCCACCACAGAGTGTCCAGCAGTGTAAAAGTGTGGTAGCAGCAGCACTGACCTTCTGCACCACATTCTCCTTCTGCATCTGACTCTGTCGGAGCTTCTTGAGGAGGACCAGGCGGGCCTCCTCCAGACGCAGCTCCTCTCTCAGAGCTTTGATCATCTGCTGCCGCTCTTCTCCTGTCTTCCCCTGGAACACACACACACAGAGAAAATCACAATGACACATGGTATCCTGATGGCAAATTTAAGGCAACCTAATTACACATCACTGGGCTAAACAGCCTCCCTAAATACACCTTCAAATAAATAAGAATTTAAGAGAAATGTCTCCTTTATTCTGATGATGTATGTCATGATTTATCTGTGATGAGATATTTGCCTGACTGCTATTAATAAGTCCCTACAATTATTTTTTATTTCTACCGTAATTTCTAATTGTGTTTTTGCTCTATAGCTTTAATTTCTTGCTAATGCATTCATTATGTTGATTAATCAAGGACTGCAAAGATTTCATTTTGACAGTATCTGACACGCAAGTTGCAAACAGCTCTACAATATGTTCAGTGTGTTTCTTATTACCTTGAACATGTCCAAGTTGGCCTGGTGCAGGCGCTCCTCAGGGCGAGGTGTTGTTCTGGGACTGGATGCCTCGTTGTCTGACAGGATGATGACGTCCGGAGAGGGAGTTCGTCTGTCATGGTCTGCATCACTACATGGGCAAACAAGAAAAACAAATCTGGACATGAAGCTTTGAGTGGCCGACTTAGGAGTCAGTTTGTCAGGCAGTGCACACCACATTGGAGGAGTGGGATATGAGGAGCACCACAGCCTCTAGGAGCTGCTAGCAGGGCTGTTGGGGCAGCTCTGACTTAAACTTTTTTGAGCCTTTCTTTTCATTTCAGTGTAGTAAGCCCTTTAATCTAGCTGGTCACTGCAAACTGATGCAGTGCAAAGGCTTAAATACATATTTCCACTCTTACCTGTAGTGCTATTTATCCCGTTTGTTGCATTAACAGCCATCAGCGTCTCACACTTTTGTGAGTTACATCGCTACTTCTCAAAGGGAAATTTGACCCCAAGCATGAGGTCACACACTTTTATAGATCTGATTATTTTTGTCATTTCAACGCATGTAAACTTTTGGGATGGATCATACACACACATCTTTGCACGAGACCTCAGATCTGTCTGGGTAAATTTAGAGAAATGTGTCAATGATGCACCAGATGTCTGGAATAAATCCATCTAATGAAAGGGTGGAAACTTCACATAGCCTCAGTGAAGAACTGCAATATTCAGTCTTCAGGCCTCTTTAAGTCTTAGGGTAGGTCTCCACGGACTTTGGGACATTTCTGCTGTTCTTCCTGGCAGATCCTCTCAGGCTCAATCACACTATGTACTGACATCTTTATGTCTCTCCACAGATGTTTTCTGTCACGTGTCCTTAACTCAGGAGTGGCCTGATTAGCCACTTGCATGGGTATGTTACAGAGTGCTCTGGGTACTTGGTCACCTCGCTGACTGAGGTGCTTCTGCCCAGGTTACTGAGTTTCGGGGTACAACCAGCTCTAGGTAGGTGGTTCCAGACTTCTTCTGTGTCATTATGATGGAGCCCACTGTGCTCCTGGCAACAGTAGCCTTTTTGTGATTTCATACCCTCACCCAGATCTGCACCTCCACACAGTTTCACACAGTTTTATCATGGAGGTCTACAGAGAGCTGCTTGGTTTTTTGATGTCACCACAACAGTGAACAGCGGGACCTTAGAAACACAGATGTGTGCTTTTCGAAATCACGTCCAATGTATCGAGGATGCCACTGGTGGACTCGAATCAAGTTGTAGAGTCTCAAAGATAATCAAAGCTAACACTGTGCACCTGAGCTCAATGGGAAAAGCCAAAGCAAAGGCTCTGAATATATTCATAGATTTCTGTTTCTGATCTTGAAGAACTTGAAGTGAAATAATTCGATTTTTAATTAAATCTTTAACACCCCTTTCTCTTCAGTAACTTCTCTGCTGATATCAGAGATCTGACTCTACTGAGGCCTTTACATCCAAAGTTAAAACTAACCTTTTCGGCTCAACTTTCGGTTAGTTGTTTATTTTATGATTACGTCAGGCTTGTAACTGTGACTATTATCCTTCTGGTGGGTTTTTTCCTTTTCACATGTAGTGCTATATATCAGTCTAGATTGTTTTGGTGTGAGTTGCCAAGTGATAGAGATATCTGCCGCACAGCTGTCTACCTTCTCTCATATATAATGGAACTAGATGGCTCAGCTTGAGTTGCTCAGAGCACCAAAACATAGATTTTAAAAACTTAACTGAAATGTCTCTTTCCAGAAACCATGACCAGGTTACTCAAGATAATACACAGATCCTCTTGTGAGAGTTTCACGTAGGAACTATTTTCTCTCTACCAAACTACACCCGCCAGCTGCATCACTGCGCATAAGGAAGCATGTATCTACTGCCTGAGCTAGCTAGCATTACAGCTCAGCCAACGAGGACGCCTTTAATGTTTACATCTCATGCTGTCACAAGCATGAGCCTCTCGTCCATGAGTAGATGCACACTTCCTTCTGGGTGGTGATATGGTTGGCAGCTGTAGTTCAGGTGAACTGACTCTTTAAGCCCAGTACTTACAGTCTGAATTAGTCCTGCAGATAAGAATACTGTAAACTCTCTGAAACCACTGCATCTCGCCTACCCTCTACTTGTCTGTGTCACAGCTCTCTTTCTCTCTCTCCTCTTCACTCAGCCTTCTCTGGGCATCCATGTCTATGTTTACAATCCATCTATTATTTTGTCATCCTCATTGTCTACACTGTAATTTTAATATGTTGACTATTCTGCACACATGACATCTATTGCACGTTGTCTGTCCTGGGAGAGGGATCGCTCCTCTGCTGCTATTTCTGAGGTTTCTTCCATTTTTTCCTCGCTAAAGGATTTTTTGGGGGGTTTAACCTTATCAGAGGGTTTAAGGACAGAGGGTGTTGTATGCTGTACAAACTGTAAAGCCCCTTGGGACACATTGTGGTTTGTGATATTTGGCGATATAAATAAACATGACTTGACTTAACACAATCAAGTGTGCAAAAGTGAATACGTCTCTCAGTTGAACTGGTATTAGCTTATAAAATGAAAGCATGTCAGTGGTAAAGAGAGCAGAATGAGATTCAACCCCAGTCTTCTGATAATTCTGAGCTATTGTGAGAGACAACATCAGATCCTTTCTGCAGTGCCAAGGCCAGCCCCACAACTCCATATCAACACAATAACTGTCAGAGCTTTTGTTAGCAAAAATATATTTTAGATCAGGTTTTCATATTAACAGTAATGAGGAGCAAAATAACTAGCAAGATGTGAGATGTGAAAGGTTTAGCCTGCAGTAGCCACGGACTGAGAAAACGCTCACTGGCAAATTATTTGATTTGTACCTAATTAAGATCTGTCAGTCGGCCAAACTACAAAATTAAGCTCTTTCTCAGTGTAATATCGTATCATGATGATACTGATGATTTACACCCCTAATGGTGACTTATTATTAAGCCTTCACTACTTCCTGCAGGTGGATATTTAAGAGGAGGAAACATCAAACCACTGCAAACTGGAGACTGAGTTAGCATGGTGCTGTGTGTATGGGATGTAATCGAGAAACACATGATAGACAGGTGTCCAGAGTGAGAGCACTATTCAGACTGGAGGCTGCAGATGGATCACGCATATCGGACCAGAGCAGGGCACGAAAATATAAGTGACTTTCAAAGTCATGAAAATACCAAATTTTTAGGAGCTGTTTTGCTGGTCTTAGCACAGCCACAAAATGCCCAAATGTGTTTAAGACACCTTATATCAGGGGTAGCCAACCAACCAGCAGTCTCCAATCACTGGTTTGTAATGTTTCAGGTAAAGGGGGACTCATTTCAATGTAACACATGTTGCCACAGGTGGAAACAATCAAATGAATGATGGCTTTCAGGGTCCTGGTATTGTTCATGCTGGCTCACTGTCAAGGGAGAATTAAATAGAACAGAGCCATCATACTTTTTTATGAGTAACACCTGGTACTTTTCCCACTACGACAAGTCATAATATCTGCTTTCTTCTCTGTACAGGTCAGTGTTCAGAGGTAAGTAGTACTCCACTGTGGTTTTTATGTGTAAATAGACTTTGTTCTCACCATCTTCTTCCAGAGCTCATATCCACCGGCTCATCCAGGATGTTTTCCTTCCCATTCTTACTGGCTCCAATATGGCTGCCATGGCCTCCCAGCCTCATACTCCCATTCAGCTTCTCCTCATAAGCAGCACCCATTAGGCTCTGGTGGTGGAGGCTGCTGGCTCCGGGCCCCTTCCCGTCTCCCAGGGGCCCCGCAACCTCCAGGGCTGCTAGGTCAGCTAGGTCCTTGCGTTTAAGTAGTGCTAGCATCTTGAGGCGCTCCATGGCCTCGTGTCCCTCCATTTTGAGGCGCTTGGCCAGCGCCTCCTCTCGCTCGCTAGGTGACTCCAGACCTCGCTTCAGCAGGTTGAGCCTCAGCGCCTCCTCAGACATCCGCTCCATCCTGTGAGACAGGAGAGGAAAGAGGGGTTAGCAGAGCCACATCAAACATTAGCTATCACGATGCCTAACCCCCCACCTGGATTTAGGTCAAACACCCAAATACACTAGTATATAGATTGAAGAATGGTGGAATGGCTTCAAATGGCTACTTACACACCTATTTCTGTCACTTTTCATGTGAACAACTGAGTGAAACACTACACTGAAAATGTGCTCCCGACATTAGCACTGGTCTGTGACTGGGCAGGGGAGGCAATTATTTACTTCTCATAATTTCACTTGAAGCACTTGAAGGAAAAGCATTAGCACTAACAAGGAATATTAATAAAAAATAAAAAAGCAGGAACTACAGGCACATGACAATGCATCAGCCGAAGTGCCAAAGGAGAGTCAATCCTGAATATCCTCAGACAGGTGCAATCAGTTTCATTGTCAGGGGTCAAAGTCCTTCAGACTCATCCTCTACAGACCATAAAATTCATTCATATTGAAATGTGACAATGAGGCAAAGCAGGGAGCGTTCCATATCAAACACCACCTGAGTCAAATTAAAGGAGCTGTGTAGGATTAAGGAAGTTACATTGGCAGAAATTGAATATTCATAATTATGTTTTCATTAGTGTATAATCACCTGAAACTAAGAATGGTTGTGCTTCCCTTAGGTGAGAATGAGCCCATCCAGCCCATACATAGGGACCAGGTCTCCCACGGAGTCTGCCATGTTTCTACAGTAACCCAAAATGGACAAATCAAACACTGGCTCTACAAAGGGCCTTTTGCATTTTTACCTTACCTCAAGGCCACTGTAGGTGGACCTTAAGCGAAGGATGAGTGGAGGGGTATTCAGTTGGTTGCAAACTGCAACATCACCCCTAGATGCCACTAAATCTAATACACAGCTCCTTTAAGTATTGTAACTAACCAATGTAACCCAGTTGACCTGCGGATCAGTGCAGTGAAATGCCAGGATGCAACGGGGATAAATAAATAATAAGACAATATGAGCAGCTGATTGTAAGCTCATTCAGATGGAAGTGGGTTAAACACAGCAGGCTAAGAATAGCCTGGATCTCTGTACTGGATGGTGACAAATACATTTGTGAAATGTTTGATGCCTCTGTTTGTGTGTGTGTGTGTGTCTGTGTGTGTGTGTGTGTGTGTGTGTGTGTGATTCAGAACAGCAAGGAGGACTTTAAGGACAACAACAAGCCAAGTCTTATGAGCATTAACTCAGTCATGTGACTGGCTTCAGCATGGGGGCTGACAGCACAGTGAACCAATCAAGATACTGCATCAGAGCACAAGCTGGAGGAAATGACAAAGCAGAAAGGCTCACTGTACACATCCTGCTGGCCCAGTTTCAAATCCATGGCTTTTAAAACCTCTGGCTGAAGATGTCGCAGGTCACTGAAGGAACCCCACAGTGAATATGAACTGAATTGTAACCTCTGGCTGAGTCAGGGTCTCATCTGATGGCTGGGCTCTGCAGTTATTGCTCTATGGTTATTGTTCAGCTAGCAGCACTGTTTTGTCCAACAATAAATCTCACCCAACAGTTTTCCAAAACTGATCTACACTTTAAGGGTGAACAAAGTAACAGGAAACTCTGAACAATAAGGTGCAATCCAGTTGAACAACCCTGCAATAAATACAACCTTTACAAAACTTTCTCACTGCTAACGTGTGAACGCGGCATGTTGCTCTGGCCTGAGTGAGAAACAACCAGCAAGAGGTAGAAGGCATTACAGGCACATAAAGCCACAACACCCTTAGGAAGTGTCTCGAATATGTTAACCACAACAAGTGACCGTGAAAAAAGTTGATGTAACATTTCTGACACTAAGTGACTAAACATTAACTAATGTCACCTAAATGTCAGATATGACAGGTGTAAACAGGTTGCTAAAGCTTTCAGAGTTGTCAGATCACTGCACCATTTACACCACACAATGGGCATATAGAGAGGGTTAGGATAAGCTTACAAGAAAATATCACAGGTCACCCAGAGAGGGTCAGAATGAAACAAAGCAACATTCGAATAAAGTTACTAGAAAATTACAAAAACATCACATGCAATAGTCCACCTTCCACCTTGTCTTCCCCGCTCTCATTGGCTATAACTTGCTGACACAGTGATGCATCAACGAGCCTCTTAGCTCCAAAAACTAATTCTGCCAATGCTAGCCATGACTGATACGTTACAGGATGCACATTCAGCAGATGTCAGTGCTCCTGAGCAGAGTGAGTTCTTAAAGTTAAAGTTCTTAAGTTAAATCACCTCACTTGTAGCTCCAAAAAACTAAGATGGCAAGAGCCGAAATGCCAAACCCAAAACAGGATGTCCACAAACCAATGGGTGATGTCACAGTAGCTATATCCATTATTGTTACAGTCTATGGTTCCACCTGAAAAAGAAAACTCGTCAAAATTGCATAGGGATATTCAGTGCTTCACTTTCCCTTGAAAAGCCCCAAAATCCTTGATGTTTATGGCAAGCAAAGAGACTCAACTCCACAAATCAGGCAGCTGAGATTTACAAAGTTCATAGTTCACGTTATAGTTCATGCAAGATGGAGACTGTTCTTACTGTAGTGGCTGGTGGTTGGATTTGACACTACTCAAAAACAATGAGTACAGCTGCAGAGAACTGCAGGCACACCGAACCAGTGATGATTACCGACATCATGCTGGGTTTAAACTTTGATGCAAGACAAAAGTGCTGCAAGGCAATTTATGCACTGGGGCCAGAGCAATGTCCTGACATTTTTTGAGACGATCCACTGTAAAACTAAACTGCGCATTCCCTGAACGCCCATTAAAGGTATACTATGCAGGATTTTCCTATAAAAACAATGTATGGACTCATACAGAAAAAATCCCTCTAAATCATCTCTTATGACCCACTGGAGTGTGTCGTGGTGTACTTTTCAGCACAGACTCTGCCCTCTGCCTTTATTTCCTTCTGACTGTCTGTGCCGGGACGTTTATGGGCGTGTACCCTCACAGCACTCAGGTGAGGTTGGGGTTTTATAAAAAAGGTAGCTACCAGCTGCCTGACTGTAAGCAGCAGGCATCCAGGAGACAATATAGCGAGGCAAAACGCCAAATCGAAAAGGGTTAATATTGCTGCTGACTTCTGTGAAAACACCAGGTTACCTTTTATTTCCATACTTGTAAATTCAACATCACTGTTGTGCAGTAATGTGATGAAGACTCAAAGTGAATCTTCACTTGCAGATATACTGCAACTCAAAAAGACTTGAGTTTACTGTGATGGATTACACAACTCCAGCAAGTTTTAAGAGTCTGCCAAGAAACAGATGAATTGAAACCACTGGCTGCCTATAAAGTAGTGTGTATATTGTGTATATAGAAATAAGATTCTTCAGCATGCATTGGAAAACGCCTGTAGTAATGTATAGTTTATGTGATTTGTAGTCATGGAGTTAAAACACATCCCGTTCTACGTGTTTATTTGGTACAAGTTAGTCGTTTTTTTTTTTACATGTGAACGACTAAATCCTGCAGGCTTCTCCTCCATTATGACAGACAGTGCATCGTGCGTGTGGCCAGACAACATGCAAATGGATGCTTTCATTTCCAGCACTGCCCCACGGCATTAACAACACCTGGACACTGAATTTGGCAAAAATGTCATGTACAGCGGAGCGTCAGTGACTGTAATTCAGACAGAGATTTAATTGGCCTGTTATCACTTAATCAGCTTCCTATTAGCAGATTATTCCTGCTGGTGTCATTCTATCGTTTCCCCTCATCTATTGTATCGCGGTGCCGTGGCTGCCACCACTCTAATCTGTTCATTCTGTCCTTAACGTCTCTGTTATCCATCACATCTACAGCAGCCTCTTTAACACAGGGAGGAGTCTTAATGATCGCACAGTACGGCCCTCCCCGCCACTTCTTCTTCTTCTCTAATTAATTTGTGACGCAGCGGCGGAGCCCAGTCGTCGCCTCCATTTGCTGAGAGAAAAACACAAGCAGCCCCTGCAACCTCTCCTCCGAGCCTCCACCTTTAATGAGCCAGAAAGCACCACTGAGAATGGCGCTGATGAGCCAATCAGGGTCGGCCTTGTGCTGCGCGTCAGTAACTGGCACCTCACACCCTTCCCCTCCACCTCCCTCTCTCCCCCCTCCTCCTCCTCCTCCCGGCCACTGCCGCCGCCGCCTGCCTTTACATAATATAATGACTGTTTCAGTCAGCTGCTATACAAGCCACACACTCTCTTTCTCCTCACCCTCCACCCCTCCCCTCTAATCCCTCCCACTACCTCCTTCCCGCCCCGCCCCTCTAGCTTTGGGCGCTCTGCCAGGCCAATGCAATAAAGGAAAAGAAAAGAAAAAGAGACATGAGGTAGAAAGACACAGGGTGGAGGTTGATGGAAGGCAAATGCAGCTCCACCTAGAGCCAAAATCAAACGCATCGTAAACCTAATGCCAAGACAAAGTTAGACAGGTAGACATCTTTATCAAAACCATGACAGAGGACTCCTCACACTGGCAACACTGTACCACCAAAGTGTAGAGTACCAAGTAGAAGTAGCCCTCTGTCATAAAGCGGCAGATCGAAAGTGTCCAGACATCCACGTACAGCACAGCATTCCAACAGAAGGCAGGATTTTGTAACCCCCTCTCCTGCTCCAGCTGTATTGTACCACAAAGAAACCCCTCCCTGCTCCTCTACCCTCCCCCAGTTCCTCAAACCCACCGTCTCCCCCCCTTCACTGTAAAAATAAACACATGCTTACTTTCAGGGGCCCCTTAAATGTAGCCAGAGCTGAGAGCTTCATTTGTTAATATTACACCAGCCAATCAGGAGTGGATATGGAGCCTGTGTAGGCATGTGTGCATGGGCGTGTGTGTGTATATGGGGGGTAATAAAGGAGTGACACAGCCAAGATACACCGAGAGCGGAGGGATTTTTTTTCTTCATCTAGCGTTATCCTCGCACAAGTCTTTGTGTGTAGGCTGTGTGTGTATGT